CCTTTCTGGACATTTTCAAGGATCTCTGGAATCGATGTTGCTTATAGCTTTGATCTTCATGTGCTAAGTGATACGCGAACTCACTGCAAAGATCCCAGTTGGTGGGAGCCTCGATGGCAACATTTGTGGGAAATGACGTGCGACATGTGGGACATTTGATCGAATCGAGCAAATAGTACTGAAAACTCCAAAGTATCTTCCCCATGAGAGAGAAAAGGAATGGCGAAACAAAACCTGCTGGTGGCAACAGAGACTGAAAAGGCACTGGTCGCAAAAGTTGTGACCACAAGGGAGAATCTTGGGTGGCCTGGTGAGCGGTTGGAAAGGCTCCAGGCAGACTTCGCACGTTACGACATCATCGCCCTCGATCAGGAAGGATACAAGTCGTCCATTGGAACACTCATTCATCTGAAGACGGTATGTATTATCTGATTGGGCCATGAAATCTTTTTTAAGATTCGCAGGGTTGTACTTAACGACTGAAGCGCACCATATGGCGCTGGACGAAAGCTGTTGCCGCTTTGAGATAAGGGCAGATAAGATTTAGGCAGCGGCGGTGAGAAAATGAGAAGGAACGGTGACATGCGTATGAAAATAACGACCACATAAAAAGGTTCAGTGCACGACGAGCCGATTTTTCCAAAAAACCATAGTAGGGGACTTTCAAAATACAAAAAAAAGAGTATACCTCCGGTAAAAAGATTTGGAGGGAACAAGATTTCGAGGAAAATCAGCAAGAAGCGAAATTCCATAGGAATTCCTATGGCCGAGAGAAACAAGAACTGCCAGAGTTTTTCGAACTGCATTTCTCCCATTTAATTTATGAGATCAAAGAATGCTGGAGAGCTGGGAACAACAACGGGTAGGGTTTGCAGTTGAACCAGTTACTGCCCCGACTGACACCGATTGTGAATCAGTTGCGTGATCGCTATCAATCAAAACACCACGCCGACAAATCAAGAATTAGAACGAGAATGGACAACGCCCAAGGCAGAGATCACTCCATCTTTGGCCAGCACGCGGTTCAGCTCAACCGTTCAGCTCCTAGACAGGGGGCGGAGTTGCGCGGATTCTGTGGTTCAACGCTAGTGAACTCCGGTTGGGCGTGGCCAAACCTCGTCGTCCTTGAGCATCCGCTCTCATCGAATACCCACAAAATGCAACAATGGACCGGAAACGGCAGAGGGTCGGGGTGTACTGTAGCTGCGTAGAATTAGTTACCGCATTGACTCAGAACTCCGCAATAGCATTTGGAGGACTATCGCCTGGGCCGTCCATAGGGACTGCTTGCGCAACTACCCCCCACACCCCTTTCCAGATCGCTTTTCCTTTTTTAAGACATTTCTTAGATTGCAACCTGACAACTGTTATTCAATATTCTTAGGAGATACCGTTTTTTTGCACCGCTGGGGTTGGTTAAGTTTGGGAACTATTCTATTTTCTGGAAGTTTTTTTCGCGACGGTTCGTGGAGGAAGAGAGTGTCATGAGGAGCAATTGATGTAGAAGATGCGTAAAGGGGGAAACTGAGAGCATGCAGTTTTCGTCCGAGATTACAGTGTGGGGTGAGGCAGAATGCACACGGGTCAGCGTGGTTGTCGTCCAATTCAAGCACGAGCACTGAAATATTCAGAGGGAGGGACTTGACGAGAACATTCCCCATTATGCTTGGAGTGATACCGGTAGCAACCAGGAAAAGGCTCAAGCACTTGTTGAGCTGATGTTTCAGCGACGATTGACGCCTGCCGCATCACTGCGAGGTGGACCCAGCCTCCCATGGGTATTATTGAGACAGTCGGCGCCGTTCAAAGGCTTTGTATAGCACTCGAAACGAGTGTAGTGACAATTGAGAACTAGCGCACTGAACGAGGAACTATCGATGTGATCGGCTAGTAAACACCTTGCACTTGGAATCCAAATAGATTTTATCCACTAGAAAAGTTTTGCATCGTAATTATAGGATCGTAAATCTACAGTACACAAGAGTTGCTGAACACTTTGCGATCGTCCGCATTGCTAACAGCCTGTAGCAGACAGAGTGAGTTATGCCCTAAGATAAGATCACTTTGGCACCTTACCGCCGAATGACTAGATTTAGGACAGTTACGTGAGAGCCGTTGGGCAACTAGATAGCGTAGAAGTGAAGAACCCTAAAAATAATGCCCAGGCACAAAGGGTTACAAACTCCGCTGAGTTCTGATTTCTGAACCGGCTTATGCCCTAGGATAGATCACTTTAACACCTCACCGCCGAATAAGATTTCGGCCACTGAGCTCGTACAGGTTGACGGGGAAATAGTAAACGCAGTAGAAAGTGACCCACCTTTTTCAATTAAGCAAGAGTTCGTCGTGTCTTCTTAGACCTCATTCACAACATCCTTAGTAAGTCCTGTAGAAGTGATGCTGAGACCGTAGCGAATAATAATTTCGTGGCACCTAAGGACATGCTGTACCATGGAACTAATAACCGTTGACACCTTTTACTCACAGACAAATAAATCGAAGTAACGAGCGGGAGCGGTTAGTTTTTATTTCTGTTCATTAGTATTTTCACAGATAAACATCTAGAACAGCAACTCACAGGCTGAAGTTCCACTAGAGGCTACCGTGGAACGCAAGTTACGAAACTTCCACAGCAACGCATCAGAGTGTCAGCAGAGTTTCAAGTGTCAGAATGATTTAACGTCACCAATGGCAGCCCAAGCCTTGCAAAGCAGCCGTCAGCATCATTAAGTTTTGCTGTAGCATTGGAATTGTAGCATAATGTATTTCTCAGCAATACGTCAAATTTAGGAAAAGAAGCATTAAGTGTCGCTGAGATAGTGAATGGAGAAAGCGCGCTACGCTGAAAATCGACTGATTTGATCTTAACTGGAAACCCACTAGTGAAAAATTCGAAATTTGAGAATGGAGGCAATGGAATCATCGCGAAACGAAGCCTGTGGGAGCTGAATGGGAAAAAAATCACACGAAAAATTGTTTCCTTTTTCAACAAGGATAATGCCCGTAAAAAGTCGTGAATTTTGCCAAGCTCAACATACATTTGTTCTAGGGATTTTCTATCAAAGGACTGTTCCCACGAAAACGGTATAGCGTCAAGAACGCCGTGAGTGCGGTATTCGTTCAGAGAAATCCCTTCAAGTTCTCTAAAGCAAGTGACCACAGGGAAAGATCTAAGAATAAAAATAGAAGAAAATGAAAATGAAACTGAAGATGTTTCCTACTGAGAAGCCGGGTAGAACTACTGTGAGAACCAGTTCGATAGTTTCCGATTTTCCTTTTGTCGTATAACGCTGGTTTTGCACCGGTCGTATCGACACGCCGCCAAGCTCAAAGCCTTACGAGTTTAATCGCAAGCTCTGTAGGTGAGTCTGAGGTCGAGGGGGGGGGAGGCCTAAGGTTTCGCACATATTCAGGCATCATTATACTAACAAAAGGGCGACTCCGGCACCTCACGAGTTCTTGAGTGGTGGGTACCAGCAGTGAAGCCCCAACAAATTAGCTGCATGTGTACCAGTGACACTATGAAATCACTTATAGACATAGAAGTTATGAAAATCGTATTCAGTTGAATCGACGTAGGACATGCTAATTTTTCAGATAGCCGGTGAGAAAGGAGGGCCGCAAACGTGTGGCAGGCATGACTATTGACTTAGCCCGATTTCGATCCATTCCGGCCTTAGCTAATTGACACAGTCACCGTAGTCATCACAAGGGGCAAAGACTGAGTAATATTGGGCATATAGTTTATACTATCCCTTTAAGGAACATCCCCATTGAGACCCTTTTCTACAGGCAAAGAACTGCAGTGGAAAAGTATAGGATTCTGCGAATGAGAACAGGATTTATTACAACTTGAATAGGTGAGTTGAATTGACAACGCAAAGAGTGTTCACTCGAGGAGATCAAATGTTATAATTCCAAAACTGAGGCCCGCTTATCCACTCCCGGGTACAATGGATAGACTTTAGGACGTCATTTTTATAATGACACTGTAGAATGGATGGGAACGGTGTGGCGGCAAGTGGTGTTGTTCCCCAAACACCTGCCAACCTGCAGATATTAGGTGCGTGCACTAGTGTGGTGTTAATCCGTGCAGCCGCCATTTAAATGTGGCTACTTAGAAAAGGTGCTTTTTCGGCAGCTGAACTGGACCTTTGCATTTTGTCAAATTGATATGTCTTTTTCCCTCGGAGGAGATGGATTTTTGTTTCGTCATGACGGCAAATTGATTTTAATATAGATAGTGGTGAAGTGTTTTTTTTGAAGAGCCTTCTCTATAGGGAGAAGAAGACTTTTTCATGTTCTTCTATTTGAAGAGAAACTGCTAATGAAGCTCAGTGATGCTTTTCAACATTTAGAGTAAAAAAACCATGGGAACGAACGGAACGAAATTTTCGTGGGACGGTCGGACAAATTGTGGAGGAGAACGGCTTCATGACGTGGAAACAGTGACTTTTAGGTGATAGCCCAAAAAT